AGTGAGATGATATAGGGCAAAGTTTGTTGATGTGGTCTGGTAAAGAAGTGCTCTGTTGAATATTCTGTTGGAGAGATTTGCTATAAAGCGAGGTTTTCAGGTCTTGGTTTATATGTTTGAGTGGAGTTTATATACTATTAGTAAGATAAGATAAGGTTTATAAGATAGCTGTTTTGATGAGTGAGTTGTGTTTTTTCCTTAACTGTGTCAGGTTTCATAGGTAGCCTTTTGTTTTCTAATGTGAGGGACAACATTTAGTTTTCGGAGTCAGGATGTTGTTCTGCTGCTCACAGAAGCTTCTGGTCAGACTGTGTCGTCTGCTGGTGAACTGCAGGTCTACCAACCAAAGGCTAGGATTTATTCTTGTCGAAGGAAAGTGTACATGCAATGTTTTTCCAGAGGTGTTTTGCATATCAATACTTCCTGCACTTAATAAATGGGGGGATTGTCAGTCTGCATTTCTTAGTGCAGAAAGTATTGATCTGATATGTAGAGTTCTTTGCTATTCTAATTAGTTCAAGAGGGTTCCGGAAGCTTCTCTGCGTAAAAAAAAAAACAAAAGGTTTGTAATGTTTGGGTTATTCCTTCAGAGAAGCTGAGTACAGCTGGGTTAAAGTGGTTCTGTCATCTCTTCTGTCAAGGTCATGCTGACTATAAGAAGAGGCCAGAAGGAGCCCGGGTTTCAATTTCTCGTTCTATCTCTCTTCCTTCTGGTGTTCTGTACATAGTATGCTGAGTCTTAAGGTTTAAACTTATTATAAGTTGCGGTAAGTTTAGGTTAAGTCTGCTGCAACTGGATTTCTTATGGACAGGGCCAATCCTGAACATTTTGGATGTGGGACCACTATGCTCATTTGTCTTCATTAGCAGTAAAGCTCTGCTGGATGAAATGCTGGGTGAGATCCCATGGACAGTAATACTAAAAGGAAAGGGAGTTCATGATGGCTGGGAGTTTGTTAAGAGGGAGATAGTAAAAGCACAACTTCAGGCAATACCAATGAGACGGTAACATGGAAGGTGCCTAAAGAAGCCAGGGTGGCTATCTAAAGAACTTTTAACTGAGTTAAGATTAAAAAGGATGTGTACAAAAAATTGAAAAGGGGGGAAACCACCAAAGAGGAATTCAAACAAATAGCCAGCACGTGTAGACACAAAGGCAGAAAAGCTAAAGCACAGAATGAACTCAGGCTTGCTAGAGAGGTTAAAAGCAACAAAAAAGGCTTTTATGGGTATGTTCGTAGCAAAAGGAAGAACAAAGAAACAGTGGGGTCACTCAGAGGAGAAGATGGTGAAATGCAAACAGGGGACACAGAAAGGGCTGAACTCCTCAATGCCTTCTTTGCCTCAGTCTTCTCCGATAAAGAAAACAATGCCCGACCTGAAGAATTTGGAGCAAATGATTCAGCAGAGGAAACACAGCCCAGAATAACTAAGGAGATAGTACAAGAATACTTGGCTAGTTTAGATGTATTCAAGTCTCCAGGGCCAGATGAACTGCATCCAAGAGTATTAAAAGAACTGGCAGATGTGATCTCAGAACCACTGGCAGTCATCTTTGAGAATTCCTGGAGAACAGGCGAAGTCCCGGCAGACTGGAGGAGGGCAAATGTTGTCCCTATTTTCAAAAAGGGGAAAAGAGAGGACCCAAATAATTACCGCCCAGTCATTCTGACATCAATACCAGGGAAGATTCTGGAGCAGATCATTAAGCAAACAGTCAGCATGGATTTCTGAAAAATAAGTCATGTCAGACTAACCTGATCTCGTTTTTTGACAGAATTACAAGCCTGGTAGATGAAGGGAACGCAGTGGATGTAGCCTACCTTGATTTCAGCAAGGCATTTGACAAGGTGCCCCATGATATTCTTGTAAAGAAGCTGGTAAAATGCGGTCTTGACTATGCTACCACTCAGTGGATTTGTAACTGGCTGACTGACCGAACCCAAAGGGTGCTCATCAATGGTTCCTCTTCATCCTGGAGAAGAGTGACTAGTGGGGTGCCACAGGGTTCTGTCTTGGGCCCAGTCTTATTCAACATCTTTATCAACGACTTGGATGATGGACTCAAGGGCATCCTGATCAAATTTGCAGATGACACCAAACTGGGAGGGGTGGCTAACACCCCAGAGGACAGGATCACACTTCAAAACGACCTTGACAGATTAGAGAACTGGGCCAAAACAAACAAGATGAACTTTAACAGGGAGAAATGTAAAGTATTGCACTTGGGCAAAAAAATGAGAGGCACAAATACAAGATGGGGGACACCTGGCTTGAGAGCAGTACATGTGAAAAGGATCTAGGAGTCTTGGTTGACCACAAACTTGACATGAGCCAACAGTGTGACGCGGCAGCTAAAAAGCCAATGCAATTCTGGGCTGCATCAATAGGAGTATAGCATCTAGATCAAGGGAAGTAATAGTGCCACTGTATTCTGCTCTGGTCAGACCTCACCTGGAGTACTGTGTCCAGTTCTGGGCACCCCAGTTCAAGAAGGACACTGACAAACTGGAACGTGTCCAGAGGAGGGCAACCAAAATGGCCAAAAGCCTGGAAACGATGCCTTATGAGGAACGGCTAAGGGAGCTGGGCATGTTTAGCCTGGAGAAGAGGATGTTAAGGGGTGATATGATAGCCATGTTCAAATATATAAAAGGATGTCACATAGAGGAGGGAGAAAGGTTGTTTTCTGCTGCTCCAGAGAAGCGGACACGGAGCAATCGATCCAAACTACAAGAAAGAAGATTCCACCTAAACATTAGGAAGAACTTCCTGACAGTAAGAGCTGTTCAACAGTGGAATTTGCTGCCAAGGAGTGTGGTGGAGTCTCCTTCTTTGGAGGTCTTTAAGCAGAGGCTTGACAACCATATGTCAGGAGTGCTCTGATGGTGTTTCCTGCTTGGCAGGGGTTGGACTCGATGGCCCTTGTGGTCTCTTCCAACTCTATGATTCTATGATTCTATGATACAATTGCCTCTGGTCTATTTTGGGGAATCCTGAGACTTCCGGGGTGGCGCCTCCGGAAAATGGCGGAATTCCCTTCAAGTTGAAGGGAACCCGCTGCACGGAAGCTTGGGTCCTACCGCTACGGCGCAGCGGGGACCCTTAAAACCCACAGGCGGACGAAGCCTGTGGACGTGGGACTCAGCGGGCACCGTGAGCGCTCTCTCCCTTGTACAGGAGCCCGGTAACGGGCTCCGGAGTGGGAGGTGCGTGGTGCTGTGAGTCGACTGCTTCTTTCGTGCAGCAAAGCCGCACTGCCGTTTCCGGAGAGCGCTGCCTTTTCCTGGGACAATTTGGCATCTAAAACATCTATCCGTGAGTACCTGATCTTGGAAGAGCTGAATTACTTTTAAGACTGGTGAATAAATAAATAAATTGGACTTGAAATTGAATTTAATTGGGACTTGGAACGGAAAGGTCTAAACAGGAAGTCAGCCTTCCGTTCTTTTGTTACGTGAAGAAAGCAAAGACAAAATATACTAAAGCTTGAAAATTAAATTCTGAGAGAACTAGAATTCAACATCTAAGATTTCTGAACCCCCTTTGACTGCAGGAGAAGAAGGGGGTTGTTTTGGACTTTTAACCCTGCGGAAGTGAGTTTAAAACAAAGTAATTTTCCACCGCCCTGAACCAGGAGCGGGCTGTCAGAACTGACGTTTTGAAGCTTGTCCAGCTCGACAGATAGTTAAAAGAAGGGTAACATTGTGACTCTACTGTTGCCTCTTGAATTTTGAAGGGGGAACTTTGGATAAAGTGTATCTGGAAAAGGAAGACTGTTGCTGATGTTTTTCTCCTTTATAAAAAAGAAAAAAAGAAAAAAAAGGTTTTCCCTCTAGTGGGATTTAGTGAAACTGCAACGCAGAGAGCTTAAAAGTGAAGGACTATAATCGTGGGAAAGAATTTTCTTTGACCTTGAAGGACAATGCTTGTACAAAGGCTTGAACAAATGTTCCTGGAAGGTTTTTCAAAACTAAGTGCCCAGCTGGACCAGATGCGTCAGGAGACGACCTTGATGACGGAAGTTACCAGAGCACAGCAGCAAGTAAATGGAACTCAGTTAAAATATCTACAAGTATATGAACCTGCTGTAGTGATGGAGGCTTCAGAGATGGAGGGACCTTTGGACCGGCAGGATCAGCCTTTGAACTTGATAAATGAACTTGGGATAAATCAGATTCGGAAAGATGAAATGTGGTTAGATTTGGAAATGGGGGATGGATTGACCCCCCTTTATATGGTTATCTGGACTTTCCGAGTCTGGTGATGGGCCATCAGAGGATTGGAGTAGTCGGAGCCTCCAAGTTTCAAGGAAACTTGAAGTGGTATTATCTGCTGTCTGGCTTGGACAATGGGCATGGGATGGACTTGCTGCAAAGGGTCAAAAGTATCTTTCTGCTGGAGTACCCACGACTGAAAGGGAAACATCAAGAAGAGCTGCGAAAGGGGCAAGAAAGAGATTTGAGGGCCTCGGACACGAGACAACCAGGTTAAGGAGCCGGACTATTGAGGTTAAAAGGACTGACAATCCCGGGTCCAGGGGAGGGGCGCTGGAAGTTGACTGGATTGTGTCTGACTTATTATTTTATTTTATTTTTCTATTTTTCAATATTGGGAACGTTCATAAATGTTTGAAAGATGTTGAATGAAACTATATGGCTTAAGTAATGATTGGTAAATGATTTGCAAAAAGGTAATGATGTAAGAATTTGGTAAATACTGAATATAAGCTTTGAGTTTTAAAGTTTTTATATGACAAGAGGGAAAATAGAATAAGGAAATGTAATGATAGATTGTTATGAAAAAACAGAAAGGATTTGCTGTAAAAATTAAAAATTAAGAAACAAGAGAGGGGAGGAGGAGGAAGTCTAGAAAGGAAGTTAACAGAGATCGTAAATGATTTTATACTTTTGTTTTTCTTTTCTTTTTTTTCTTTATGGTTGGGTTTTTTCTTTTTTATTTCTTTATCATTTTTGTTTTTTGTATTTTCAAATTTTTTTGGAAATTTTTGTTGTTATTCTTTGAAAACTTAATAAATATTAATTAAAAAAAAAATATTTTGGGGAATCCTGCAACGTCTTTACATTTTCACTCTGGTAACTATACATTGGAGTTCTGCCTGGATCAATACTGAGTAGAATTCCATGACAGGGTCTTCCTCCATGAAATCAGCTGCCAAAAGAGAAGGCCCCTAGCTCCCCACAGCTTTCCAAGTCCCCTCCTCTCTAAGCCCTGTTATCCCTAAGCCCTGTTATCCCTTCAGCTTCTGACACCTCCTCTTCCCAGACTTCTCCCTCTTCTCCCTTTCACTGCTCATCCTTCCTCCACCTCCACTCCTTGGGCTGAGACATTTCCCCTTCCTGGTTCCCCAGCTGCTTCCTCCCACCATTCCTCTGTGCCCAACCAGTCCATGACATTGCTCCATCCCTCGGCCTCTGTCCCCACAAGGCAGCTTCCCCTGACCTGATCTGGTTCCACAGCCGCTGCTTCCCTTCTGCCCCCATGAAAAGATGGATCAGGTGGTCTTGCCGGCATCATTCTGTCTCCTGAAAGAGAAAACAGGTAAGCAGGATGCCAGGCGTGCCCATGTCTCTCACAGGTGAAACAGGGCATCTCTAACTACAGATGGGCCTTTCAGAAAGCCTTACCTGCTGAGTGCATTTGGACATTTGTGCCCATTTCATATGTTAGTTATGCAAAAATATATCTCCCCTCCTCTGGACCCTTGGTTCCGAATGCCTCCAAACAGAGAAAAACCACCTTCCTCCTTACCCAGTGGCCTCTCTCTGGTGTCCAACGGAGGCCTCTCTGCCTCACAGGAATCCATGTCCATTTCCTCAAAACGATCCTTTTCCTGAAAGAGCAACAAGGATTCAAAACAGAAAATGAAGGACAAGAAATAGCAGAAAGAAAATGGAAAAGTAAAAATCTTTAAGGGTGTGAGATCTCATTCCATGGATGCCTTCCCAGAAAAAGGATGGGCCATCAGCAGAGCATTATGGGATGTTCTCCATCCTCTTTGGAGCCCCTAATAATAATAATAATAATTTTTTATTTGTACCCCACCCTCCCTGGCCGGAGCCGATCTTTTGGCGGCTAACATCGTAAATCTAACACAGTACACAAAGACCATAAGGACAGGCAATTGATTAATTAAAATAATTCTTAAAATTAGTTCAAAACAAATTAAAATCTGGACAGACCACTGGTAAAATTGAGAGTGGTTAGTATTCGCTAGGGCCAACTACTGTTACCACTGGTCTTATAAAGTAGGTGTGAGCGGGCTAGGAAGCCTCTTTAGTGCTTATTCTTGTACTGAAAGAAAAGAATCAGACTGAACCCTGAAGAAAGGCCTGGCGGAACAGCTCTGTCTTGCATGCTCTGAGGAAAGATGTCAAATCCCACAGTGCCCTGGTCTCTTGTGAGAGAGCGTTCCACCAGGACGGAGCCACATCCGAAAAGGCCCTGGCTCTGGTCAAGGTAGTATCCAGAGGAAAGTCTCCCTCACCTGCTTTCTCTCTGCCTGCTTCCTCTCCTCTGCCTGACTCAGGAGGAAACCTTCGGCCAGGGCCACCGCCTGGGAACTGGTCTCTGCTCCACAGTCCCTCACCCAGCTCTCCATCTCCGGAGGAAGGACAGCCAGGAACTGCTCCAAGATCACCAGGTCCAGCATCTCAGCTTTCGTGTGCCTTTCTGGCTTCAGCCACTGGTGGCAAAAGTGGTGGAGTTGGCTGCAAACCTCTCGGGGTCCTTTGGCTTGCAGGTAGCAGAACCAACTGAACTGCCGGATCTGCACCTCTGAGCAGAGGGTGTCCTCCTCACCCAGGATCTTCAGCACAGCGTTTTCCCAGAATCCCCCACTGCTCCCAGTTTGGTTGGCATGGCCTCTTCCTGCTTCGGGGCCAGCTGAATCTCGATCATCCATCTGTGGTCTCAGGAAACTTCTAAGAGATCAGAAGGAACCCTTTGATCTTCGTCTTAATGAGAAGTCCTGGAAATCCTACAAAGCAAATACATTGTTCTGTTACAGAATTTGTAGGTCAGGAGAAGAAAATGCTTCTCTAAAAGAGCATGGATGAGTCTTGCTAGGAACCAGGGCTAGACTGGACCGCAACCCTTTTTGAAAAGACAGAGGAGGAGGAGGAGGGTGAGGAGGAGGAGAAGCAGAAGCAGAAGCAGAAGAAGACTCCTCTAGCTCTCCTAGAAGGAAGATTGCAATGCAAAATGTGGAGGAAATGAAGGGATTTCTGGGAGATGAGTCAGCCTGGTTGCTCCTGCCTTCCAGTCAATGCATGAAGTCAGAACTGACTGACAAGGCAATCATTTGAAAAATGGATGCTTGGCTCTAGTGGGGGGTCCTCATCTGGGGGTCCTCAGGAGTTGTTCTCCCCCCACCCCCACTTCAGGGCACATTTCCCCCCTACTTCTGTCTCCTTTTCTTGCACTTGGACTCTCTGCCGCTCTCGAGACAGACTCCTGGGGTGGGGTCCCTTTTCTTTTGCTCTGAGGGCCAGGAATGTATCTGGACAACCCCCTGAGGGCCAAGTGGGTGGGGCCAAATACATCTCCTTTGGAATTTAGGCAGCTAATTTATTATTATTATTCTCTTAGATGGCTTAACACACGCACAGCCATTGATGCCCAGGTCCCTGGAGGCTCAGGGAGTAGCAGCGCCCATTTCCGGCTGCTTTGCCAGCAACAATCCCTTTGGGAGAGAGAGGATGTGGTCCTGGGATGCCCTGCTCTGGGTGCGAGGGATTGCTGCAGTGGCCTCCGTGGGGAGCTGCCCTGGGAGACACTGGGAAACTGGTCCCCAATGCAGCAGCCAGACTCTGGGCTGGGATCCCTCTCCTTATTCCTGGCCTCTCCTTCCCAACTTTTCTTCCTTCCTCCACCTCCTTGTCCAGCTTTCGAAAACCATTTGCAGATGTTTCCTCTGTTCTGCAATGACGCTGAGCGACGTCACACAGTCCCAGGGACTCCTTTGTTTAAAGAAGGGAGATTTCCTGGGAGACATTTTTTTCTGGAGGGGGGGCGAAGGGCCAAATGAGTTTGGGATCCTCTGCTCTGCAGGAAGGAGAGCGTGGCAGACCTGGCCCCTCCCTGGCAGGACCCTCTCCTCCCTGACTTGGGGTCCCCCCAGCCCCCTCCCCTGCTGCAGCCCTGGGACCCCCACCAGATCCCAGAGAGGAGACTCACCAGATCCCAGAGAGAGAGGAGACTCACCAGATCCCAGAGAGAGAGGAGACTCACCAGATCCCAGAGAGAGAGGAGACTCACCAGATCCCAGGAGGGACAGCCAGGCAGGAAAGGACTGGGGAGGGAGGGGCCTTGGCTCTGGAGGACCTGCCCCCCCACTTCCTGTCCTCTCTAGGAAGGCAGCTCGGTTCCCTTTAACCCTTGCAATGCCGAGTCCCCCAGCTCAGCCCCCCCCCCCCCGCATTGCGCACTCGCTTAGCCAGGGCAGAACTCTGATTTCTATTAATTTCTGTTCTTTTGAATGGCTCTAAGGGGGCAGCTTCCGCCTGGCTCCGCCTATTTGGGGGGGATTTTGGCTCTTGTTTGGGCTCTGAGCATCTCCCTCCCTTGGCGGGAACCCAGAGGAAGAGCTTGCAGGGAAAAGGGCTTTGCAGGAGGCAAGGAAGCTCCTCCTAGAATTCAGGAGTGGAGAGATGGGAGGGGATCCCAGGGTCATCTAGTCCAACCCCCAGGGATCTCAGCTAAAGCATCCATGGCAGATGGCCCTCCGATCTCTGCTTAGAAACCTCCAAGGAAGGAGAGTCCACCACCTCCCAAGGGAGACCTTTCCCTGCCCAACAGCTCTTAGATGTCCCTCAAGGCAGCCGGTCCTGAGTTCTAGCCCTGCTGAAATAATGGCGCTGGCCACCAAGGAGGAACCAAGCGAAGTTCATAATAAATAAATCCTATTCTCATCATGAATAACCAAGCCTTTCTAAAGCATGTTGCTAGTCAAACACTCAATAGTATGCCATTTCCCCTCCCAGAAATGCTGAATTTCTAATTCAGTGGACTAAAAATGGATGGTTGTTATGCTTAGGAAGCTTTTAATATTTGATGGTGTATTGTATTAATATTTTGTTGGAAGCCTCCCAGAGTGGCTTGGGAAACCCAGCCAGATGGGCGGGGTATAAATGAATGAATAAATAATAATTGTTGTTGTTGTTAATTGAATTGATATACCACCCTTCACCAAGAGAGAGATCTCAGGGATATTGAAAACACAGAACTCATAAAAAGTATACAAATGATGCATCACCTCAAATCCTTTAAACAGGTGAGTTTTCTCCTTTGGAAAGAGGCAGGTGGAATCTCCACGGTTGCTAACAGAATAACGTTGAAAGGCTAGTGAAATATGGGGAACCAAGAGCATCTGCTTGGCATGCAGAATGTCCCAGGGTCAGCCCCTGGCATCTCCCGCAAGGGCTGGATGAGACCCCTGCCTGAAACTGGGGGGAGCTGCTGCCAGTCAGTGTGGACTATACAGGGTTAGAGGGAGCCCTTGGTCGGTCTCAGCAGAAGGCAGCTTCTGAGGCTACTTCAAAGCTCTGCAAGATCAAAAGGGATAGATATTCCCTAAGCAAACCAAATTTAAGAAACTGGAATCATGGCAGCGGAATTTTGTTGTTTTTTAAAAAAATGATATTGAAGGGGTACAGTTAGGGTTACCCCTAAAAACTGTTTGTGAATTCCCCCCCCCCCAGCCAGGCCTCGGAGTACGCATTTTAAAAACTGCATTTTCCTCTAAGACAAAAAGCATGAGCTAAGCAGTCCTCTCTGTAACAAAAACGCTGTAACAAACCCAGAGCTGAGAACAGAAAAGCTTTTCGCTTCCCAGATCCAAGATAACCTTGTCCTGGTACATTGACTTGCAACATACTTCCGGGAACAGAGCCAGAGAACGAAAAGCAACATTTCTATGTAAGAATCCGTGAAGGGGGAGAGAAAATGGGGTTTGAAAAAAGGATAAAACCTGCTTGTAAAATGTTTTCGGCGCGGCCTGTCTTTTGTGAACTGAATCACACAGGTGCCTCTGCCCCCCCCCCCATGGCAGAATAAAACGCTCTTTCTCTGGATTAACCCCTTGGTGTCGTTTGGCTCCTTTTGTCTCTGCTCGGGTGCAACAATTATTCCTACCCATGGATTAAAAAGGCTACATATTTCTGGTGCATCGGCCGGGAAAAAGCACGTTCCCCGAGATCGAGGGACAAAAAGGTCCAGGGCGTCACTGCAATGCGAGCAGCTCGGGATCCTGGGTCAACAGTTCCAGCGCGCATCCTGCCAACTTCGTGGGAGGGACTGGCCACCCGTTCCTGAGTGGACACGCGACAAGTGACGGAGAGAAAGAGCAATGGGCCGTGCAGAAAGAAGGTACCTCGAGGAACAAGGTAGGCTCCACAGGGTATAGGTGGGAGCAAGCTCCACAGGGATAGGTGGGAGCAAAGAGAGTTTGATCAACTCCGCCAGCAGGGTAGAAGAAGCGCCACTGGTTTTGGTGTCGCCCAGAAAAAGCAGTAAAGGGTACTGCTGGGCCCCGGTCGAAGTTTAAGCGCTGCCGGTTGTGGTTGGTTGTTGGTTTTGTGCCCAGAATAAGCAGAAAACAAAGGTCTCTTGGGCCCCGGTCGAAGTCGTGAAGCGCTGCCGGTTGTGGTTTTTGGTAAAAAAGGGGATTGAGGGAGGTGCATGGAGTTGTTGTTGTTGTTTTTTTTCTGAATGTGCGTGTGGGGACACTCCAGTGAATGTTTTGAGTGTGTGAGACGTTGAAAGCAACGTCTGGCCTGTGACTGAGTGGGGGGAAAAAATAACGTTAGGAGGGCTGAGTGTCCCAGTGTCCCCAGGATCCCAGAGTCATGGGAAATAAAAGCAGTAAAACAATTCTTGAGACACCACTACAGAGCTTTCTGGAAAACTGGAAAAGTGCCACGAAAGCAGAAGAGTGGGGATGTAAACTCAAAAAAAGCAGACTCCAACATTTATGTGAACTTGACTGGCCTTCGTATTTACCAGAATGGGCTCCTGGAGGATCCTTTGATCCAAACTTGGTCAACATTTTATGGAGTAACATTTTCAAGGCCCACACAGATCAGAGTCCCTATATTTCTATCTGGAAAGCCAATGTGGATCAAAATCCCTCATGGCTTCGGAAAAATAGAATTGTGACTGCCCAAGTCCAACTGTGTTCAGTACAATTACAAGTTAAGAAGCCACCAGTTTTGCCAGTCCTGGAAGAGGAGATAATTACCCCCCACACACACACCATATGCAGCAACTGTGCGAAGACAACCAAATCTGGGAGCAAATAGGGCTGCTTCTCTGCCCAAAGCCCAGACTGAGGACCCAAATGAGAAGATTCCCCCCTCTGCCCCTCCCCAACCCCCATGTGATGTAAGCGAGGAAGGTGAAGAGAAAGGTGATGATGATGATGATGATGATGATGATGACTTCAGAAAAACTCAAGATAAAGAGATAAGATGGACTAGTAAGCAGTCTGACAGAGTGTTCCAGTATGTAGAACCGTTTAAAACAGAACTGGATGTGGCCCCCTGGGTTCTAGAAGCAGCCCAGTGCCAGGATGAGAATTGGAGAAAAAAGCAAAAGGTTTTGAGAACAGCGTGGGACAGGGCAACAAAACCTGTAGAGACACTTAAATCTAAGGCTTTGTCCAAACCCACTGTGGTGGCCCCTCTCCGGCAAGTGTATGATCCTTTGGAACAGCCAAATGGTCAGGGCGTTAGACCCCCAAGGACCTTTACCATTCAGCATGTCCCTTTTACAAGCTCCGATATTTGCAATTGGAAAAATCAAAATCCTTCTTTTGAGGAAAATCCTGCAAAAATAATTAGACTTTTTGAAGGTGTGTTCAAAACCTATATGCCTACCTATGATGATGTAAGTCAGCTTTTGGACACAATTCTGACCACTGAGGAGGTCCGCAAGGTAAATGCCTGTGCCAGGGAACAGCTCAAGGCAGCAAATAATACTGACGCTGCAATTGAGGTCTCTTACCCCAGGCGGACCCCCCCTTGGGATTACAATACTACAGAGGGAAGGGCGGCCTTAGAGACTTCTCACAAAAATGTTTTAGAAGGCATGAGACGGGCAGCGAAAAGGCCTACAAATATGGCGAAATTATCTGAGATTTTTCAGCTGCCCAATGAGCCTCCAGGAGTATTTTTGGAGAGATTAAAAGAGGCATTCCGCAAATACACCCCCATAGACCCTGATGATGATGCCCAAGAGGTGATTGTAAAAACCACCTTTGTGATGCAAGCAGCTCCTGACATAAGACGTAAAATTCAAAAAAAAGAGAATTTTATAGGAAATCGACTTGAATGGATGTTAACCCTTGCACAGACCACTTATAATCAGAGGGGTGAAGAAACAGAAAAGCAGAGAGAAAAATACCAGACCAAAAAATTAATGGCACTAAGAGCTGGCCAGCAGCCAGACAGCCAGAAACAAAAAGCCCATGGGAGGGGCAGGGGCCGTTTAGGACGGAATCAGTGCGCCATCTGCAGGCAGGAAGGTCACTGGAAGATGGAATGCCCGCAGAATAAGGAAATGTACCCCCACGCCCCGCAGTTTGCGAACAATAACTTCGGGCCACAAGCCCAGCCGTGGGCTTCAGCTCCTTGGACTCCAAGGACCCGTGGCAGGGGGAGGGGGCAAGGACAGGGACCACCTTGGACCCCACCCCACCAATCTGGGGCAATGGCCCTGAGAGACGAAGACACTTACTAGGACAGACCGGGCCCAACCAAACAAAGCAGGTTCCCGTGAGCCCATGGTCAACATTGTAACTGGGAACCAGACTATGCCATTTATGGTGGACACGGGTGCCGCATTTTCCGTTGTGCCGCACCCAGTTGCCACATCAACTGCTGAATCAATCAGCATTATTGGGGCCACGGGAAAATCACAGCGAGTGCCAGTCTTTAAACCTGTGACCTGTAAACTAGGAGGGCAAACAGTCCAACATAGATTTATCTACATTCCTGATTGCCCCATTCCACTGATGGGCAGGGATTTATTGACCAAACTGCAAGCTCAAATCACTTTCCAGCCGTCAGGAGAGGTCACAATGTCCACTACCTGCCCATCTGGAGAATTGGTAGTGGAAAGCCCCTTAAGGGAACACTGGCGCCTCATGTTAATACAGGAGAAGGAAAACCAATCCCCACCTGCATTTTGGACAGTGTAAATCCTAAGGTATGGGCTGAAGATAATCCCCCAGGCATGGCTAAAAACATTACCCACCCCCCATCCTTGTGAAGCCCAAGCCTTTTTGGAACCCCGTAAATGTGAAGCAGTATCCCATCCCACGCCCAGCAGCAGAAGGAGTGTGGATTCATCTTAAACGGCTGCTCCACTATGGAATTTTAAAACCTTGCCAATCACAGTGGAACACCCCCCTGCTTCCAGTCAAAAAGGAAGGGGGAGGCTTTCGTCCGTGCCAGGACCTCAGGCTCCTAAACCAAGCCGTGCAGACCCTACATCCCTCCGTGCCTAATCCCTATACATTACTGAGCCTGATTCCACCAACTGCAACACGTTTCACTGTATTCGATTTAAAGGACGCTTTTTTTAGCTGTAGGCTAGCTGAGGAAAGCCAGAGTTTGTTTGCTTTCCAGTGGAGGGACCCAGAGACAGGCACAAAAACGCAATACACGTGGACGCGACTCCCACAGGGGTTTAAGAATTCGCCCACACTTTTCAGTGCAGCTCTGGCTTCTGACTTAGCTAGCTTCCCCACCTCCCCCGACCGTGCGCTGAGTCAATATTTTGATGATATTTTACTCTCGTGTAAAGATGAAGACACGTGTCTAGAAGCGACCAGAGATCTTTTGAATCACCTAGCAGAAGCTGGGTACAGAGTTTCTAAAGCAAAAGCTCAGATTTGCCAGCCAACTGTTAAATACCTTGGCTTTGATATCTCTCACAGAACCCGTTCTTTACGATCCGAAAGAAAACAGGCAATCACCCAAATTCCTGAACCGAAAAACAGGAGGGAGCTCCGGGGCTTCTTGGGGTCCGCCGGTTTCTGTAGAATATGGATACCAAATTACAGTGCCATTGCCCAGCCCCTCCATAATTCCACCCGTGGAACAGAGAAGGATCCCTTTGTGGGGGGGGCCAGAGCAGCGGCAGGCATTCCAGCAGCTCAAGGACGCTTTACAGACTGCGCCTGCGCTTGGGCTTCCAAATCCTTCCAAACCGGTTTATTTGTACATAGCTGAAGATTCTGGAATTGCGAAGGGCGTTCTTTGTCAGAAATTGGGCAGTTGGCAGCAACCCATAGCTTATCTGTCTGAAAAGTTAACCCTTGCAGAGCAAGGCTTGCCTCCCTGTATGCGGGCGGTTATTGCTGCAGCAACCGTTCTTACGAAGGCTGACAAGTTCACCTTTGGCCAGGACACTGTATGTGTCACCACACATGCTGTGCCAGCCTTGTTGGATATGAAAGGGACTTATTTTCTATCACAAGACAAAATGATGAAATGTCAAATTTTGTTAATGCATCCACGTTTGCAGTTTCGAGTCACTGAGTCACTTAACCCAGCTACACTTTTACCTGTGGGTGAGGAAAGGCCCCCAACTCACGATTGTTTACAGGTGATGGATGAAGTTTATTCTAGTAGACCTGATTTGAAGGACGTGCCAAATCCTGCCTGGCCTTCTTGGTTTGTGGATGGTAGCAGCTTTCTGGAGGGAGGCCAGCAAAAAGCGGGGTACGCTGTGGTAGCCCTGGAAGGGGAAATCATTGAAGCCTCCCCACTTCCCCCTTCTTCATCCGCTCAGCTTGCTGAAATTGTTGCTCTAACCCGTGCACTACAGTTGGCTGAAGGCATAGACATTAATATATCTACTGACTCAAAATGTGCTTTTCTTACCCTGCATGCCCACGGAGCACTTTGGAAGGAACGTGGCATGCTCACATCAAAGGGGAGCCAGGTGCAGCGCCCCCAAGCCCTTATGGATCCTTTAACTGCAGTATGGGCTCCCAGCCAAGTGGCTGTGATACATTGTTATGGACATCGAACTGGACTAAGTGTTGGGATACTGCCAGGGAGATAAAGTCCATCAAGGCCCCCAAGCCGTCTGCCGGACGATCCATCTCAGTCTCCCGTAGGCACGCAGCGACATGAGTTTCTAGAAAATATCTTGCCACATTCTAGAGCTCATGCACGCTCTATCAGCAGATAAATGCACAGCCAAAAGTTGCAGTCAGGAGAGCATTATTTACAAGTTTATTCAGCGTTGATCAGAACACAGAAAAACATGACTGACTGCTTTAGTGTCTGCGACACCAGAGAGAAAACGAAAGCAACAGAAAACATAAACATCCTGTGAACAGGAAATACGCAGACTCTGACTCACAAAGCCTGCTCCCTTTTAAGGTGGAACGGAAATATCCTAACATCCTCCCCTTTCCGTGTAACCTGTAGTACCTGTGGTTCAACCCAATTGCAACCTTTGTACGTAAACCTTAAGTTGTTCTCTGTTAACAACCTTAGACAACAGATCAGCAGGAATTTCATTTCCTGGCATGTAGGACACCTGAATGAGTCCTTTCTGAATACACTCTCTTGCACGATGTAGCTTAATCTGCAAGTACTTGGTCCTTTGCTTGCAACTCTCCGAGTTCAGCAAAGCCAAACACGATCTATTGTCTTGATACACTTGTACAGGACATTTCACAGAAACTCTGATGTCCTTAAACAGTTGCATCAACCATTCACAATCCATGAGTGAAAATGACAGAGCATTGAGTTCTGCTTCACAGGAACTTAGGCTCACTGTCGTCTGCTTTTGCACAACCAGTCAAACAGGCAGTGGTTGTACATGTAGCATACTCCAGAAGTGCTTGTACCATCCGTGGTGTCACTTCCAAAACTTGCATCTGCAAAGATTTCAAGACCTCCAGTCTTCTGACTGGTGAACCTCAGCCTGTAGTGCATAGTCCCTTTCAAATAGCGGGCTATGCGCTTCAGAGCTTTCCAATCCTGAACAGTAGGATTGTTAGCATGTCTGCTAAGCAGGTTAGTGCTTACAGCTATGTCAGGTCTTGAGCATCTAGCAATGAAATTCAACTTGCCTAGAATGCATCTGTACAGCGTAGTGTCAGAAAACGCTTCAGCAGTACTGTCTACCTGGTAACCTGTCACCATCGGTGTGTCTGCTGGGTTTGCATCAACCAAATTCAACCTGGTTAATACATCAGCAATTTTCTGTGTTTGGTGTACCAGAAAATTACCTGCTTGGTCCCTCTCCACCTGCAGAGAAAGATAGTTGGATACCTCACCAAGATCCTTCATGTCAAAGTGCTCCTTCAGCTGAGCTAGGGTGCTTTGGTAGAAAGCCTGATTCTTCCAAAACATCAGAAGATCATCAACAAAACATAAACAATACAGTTTGTTTTGCCCTCCTCCTTGACAAACACACATGGATCAGCTTTGCCCTGGTGAAAACCTAGAGAAAGCAATGTCTCAGTGAGTTTTGTGTTCCAACACCTGGCACTCTGCTTGAGACCATATAAGGATTTCCGCAGTTTACAGACCATTCCCTTCTGTATCTGCATCCCGTCAGGTGGAAGCATAAACAGCTCCTCCCCCAGAATCCCGTACAAAAAGCTGTATTAATGTCATGATGGGAAACATGCAGTTTCTCCTCCGCAGCTATCTTGAGCATCAGCCGAATGCTCTCATATTTGACGGTGGGTGAGTAGGTCTCGTGGTAATCCTGTCCTGGTACCTGTGAAAAACCTCTGGCAACCAATCTGGCTTTGTGTCTGACAACCTTGCCATTCTGGTCTGTCTTGGCCTTGAAGACCCATTTGCTGCCAACCAGTCTCATTCCTGGGACTACCGGTACCAGTTCCCAAGTTTGGTTCCTATTCAAGGAATCAACTTCAGCCTTCATGGCATTAAGCCAAGGCTCAGCATCTTTAGAGGTTAACTCCTGAACCTCTTTGAAGCTTGAAGGTTCCCACACCTTCTCTGAGCTACTAAGAACAGCAGTTGCTGTCTTAGCAAACTCATCAGCAAATCTCTTTGGAGGTCTGCCCTTCGTGGCTCTCTCAGATCTGCGTACTAGACGCAAGTCTTCTGGACTCATCTCCTCCTTCTTAGGAGAAAAGTGACCAATGGTGAACAGTGGTTCTTCCAGTTCATTGTCAGACGCATCAGATGGTCTGACTGAGGCCTTTGCGCTCTTGTAGTCTGCTGTGTCATCACTGTCACTGACATCAGCAGCAGCGCCGCCCACTGAACTGGAATCCGAACTCTGATCATCATCGTCATCATCATCCTCAGCAGCTTCCTCAGCTTTAGCTGCTTCTTTGACATCACCTTCATCCTCCTCTGGGTAACTCTGGAAAATTCCCACATTTTCCCCCCACTTAGGATTGTACTCAACACTCTTTGTGAACTTAATGGACTTAGAGTTGGTCATCCATACCCTGTATGCACCTTTTCGTACCCCATGAACAAACCATGTGCCCCACGCTTCCCAAGCTTGTTGCTCTGTGGGGTGTGTACCCACATGTCAGAACCAAAGATTCTCATGTGTTTGATGTTGGGTTTCTTACCAAACATCTTCTCATAGGGAGTACAACCAATAGGTGATGACAATCTGCGATTATAAGTGTAAGCAAAATTCGACAGAGCCTCCCCCCAATACTTATCGGGAGATTGGCATCATGCAACAATGTTTTCATTCCTTGCAGCAACGTTTGATTTGCTCGCTCCGCAAGCCCATTCATCCATGGCGATCTAGGCGTTGACAAGTCATGCTGGATTCCCTTCTCAGTCAGGAAAGCTTCAAACTGCTGAGAAGTGAACTCCCGCCTCGATCAGTAAACAGACAGCCAATACGTTTACCGTGAACATTCTCCAACCAAGCACAGAATGCCTTGAACTTAGGAAACGCTTGCGATTTCTGCTCGAGCATAAACACATGAATGTACCTGGAAAAAGAATCAATTAGAACCATGAAGTACCTTGCTCCACCCAAAGAGGGCGCAAGTGGACCAACCAGGTCTGCGTGCACTAGCTGGTAGGGTTTGGAAGCCTGCCTGCTAGACTCCTTGCCTTTTGGAGCAACCTTCACCTTGTTCTCTGCACAAGATACACATTTCATGTGAAACTTACAGGGTTTGATGTTCAAACCCTCAACCATCTCTGGCATCTTGGCCAGCGCCTGCCAAGACATGTGACAAAATCTTCTGTGTGCATCATGAATGCATCCTGCATGAAGAACTTTGTTAGTTTGTGCAACACAACAAGAATCAGCATTAGACACAACAGCACCAATGTCATCATAAGTTATACAGAACAAGCCATCCATAAACTTTGCATGCAAAATGTCCTCTTTGCCTTTTCTGATGACACAGACGCTCCTCTTGAAGGAAATCTCAAAACCACGCCCAGTCAGCTGTGGGACACTGAGCAAATTGTCTGCAGCACCTGGAACATATAGTACATCTTTGATGGTAGTGTGCAGACTTGCCAGTTTCACAGTCCCTTCTCCTGCGATTCGCAACGTCTTTCCATCAGCCAGGTGGATCTCACCTTCTTGAGGTTTGAAGGAGATAAATAGGTGGCGGTCCTTTGAGACATGGCGGGTACAGCCTGAATCAACAACAAACCTGGCCTTGGCTTTTGGAGCAGCCTTTGCAGCAAGCAAAACCTTGTTTTCCACCGGCGTGGGCTTTTGCAGCTTGCCCCCCTGCTCCTGGCCATCAGACTTGCCTTTAGCCTTTGGTGAAGCTGTGCCAGCAAACAAAACCTTGTTTTCCACTGGCGTGGGCTTTGCAGCTTGCCCCCTGCTCCTGGCCATCAGACTTGCCTTTAGCCTTTGGTGAAGCTGTGCCAGCAAACAAAACCTTGTTTTCCTCTGGCGTGGGCTCTTCACCCTCCCTCTGCTTCTGGCCATCTGCAGGCGTCTGCCTCTGTTTACCTTTGCCCTTCCGGCCTCTGCAAAGGCGATGACCTTGGTTCCCATGAGAAACAGAGCTCTCAGCTGCCGACTCCTTGGCTCCCCCTGGAGGCTGGAATGCTGCCTGGGATGACGTGACAGTCAGCTCCCCTGCAGCTTGCAACCGGTGCCCTCAGCATCCCTGCATTCACTCGCATTCTGGGAAACAGCCAGGACCTCCGATGCAGTCAAACTCTGGGCTGGGATGACTGGCAGATGGGCTATCTTCAAAGCATGCCACATCTTACGTGCAGTCAGATTGCCAGCAAGCGTCTTTATTTCCTCCAGAGAGACGGACAAGACGATTACGTCTATCGCCTTCGAATTTTCGGCCTTCCATCTATCTGTCAGAGGAACTGGAGGGGCTTCAGACACAGTATGCCACACTCCAAACTGACGCAGCAAACTCTCACACCATTTTGCCCAGGTCTGATAGTTGTGCCGATTTAACTTTGGGCACTCAGCAGCCTCAGAAGCCTGGAAAAACTCCATTCCAGGTTTCTACTTGAGCCGTGAATCTTATTCACTTCAGAGACGTCTTATCTTGGCAGCCATAAATCTTGAGGCCTGCTGGGCTCGACGCCCAGATCCAATTAGGCTTGCCGGACATCAAAGCTCTTGCCGCGGCAAACAGAAAAGCCTTACTTTCGCTTTTCCTCCACATACCTTTCAGCAGTCTGTCGCAGTCTTACTCTCCTGTAAGTGCTGTGAATCTGGGCCCGAAACCTGTTGTTGGGATACTGCCAGGGAGATAAAGTCCATCAAGGCCCCCAAGCCGTCTGCCGGACGATCCATCTCAGTCTCCCGTAGGCACGCAGCGACATGAGTTTCTAGAAAATATCTTGCCACATTCTAGAGCTCATGCACGCTCTATCAGCAGATAAATGCACAGCCAAAAGTTGCAGTCAGGAGAGCATTATTTACAAGTTTATTCAGCGTTGATCAGAACACAGAAAAACATGACTGACTGCTTTAGTGTCTGCGACACCAGAGAGAAAACGAAAGCAACAGAAAACATAAACATCCTGTGAACAGGAAATACGCAGACTCTGACTCACAAAGCCTGCTCCCTTTTAAGGTGGAACGGAAATATCCTAACACTAAGTGATACGGCCAGGGGCAATCGCCTAGCCGATAAAACAGCTAAACAAGCAGCTAGACAACAGGCACCTGCTTTCTTCCTGGGATCCCTGATACCAGAGAAGATTGTGGATACTAGCCTTAAACCACCATACACAACACAGGAGCGATTAATGGCAGAAGCTGAGAAGTTGGCAACTACTGATGAGGGATGGTATCTTACCCCTGACAACCGCCTATGGGTGCCAGAGTCCCTGGGCCCCCAAGTTGTGCATCGGTACCATGACTCCTGTCACGTGGGGCCCGATGCTCTGGCCAAACATCTTGGGAGCTGTTACTATATATCCAAGGTGTACCAGTTAGCTTCTCAGGCCTCGAGACGTTGTGTCCTCTGCCAGAAAAACAATCCCAGAACAGGACTCTTACCTCCTTCCGGAATTCAACATCAAGGGACAGCTCCCATGGAGGACTTAGTTATTGATTTCACTGAACTGCCCAGGTGTGGCTTATACCATTATCTCTTAGTGGCTGTCTGCACTTACACAGGATGGGTGGAAGCTTGGCCCACGAAATCAGAACGAGCTTCAGAGGTCACCAGGTGCCTGCTACGTGAAATAATTCCCCGTTACAGCCTGCCCCGGTCTATGGGATCTGATAATGGCCCTGCATTTGTGCATAAAGTAGCTCCTTGGATACATCATACCCGTGTAAAGAAGGCCTTCTCGGATTGGACTGTTACACCGCATCAACAAGAGCCGCTTCGACTCACCATTTCCAGACGTGCTCCAGACTGCGCTCCGGCTCCTGCAACCAGCGTGGATTGAAAGGGAACATTTTCTTTCCTTTCCTTTTGCATAACTGAACTTTATTGAAGGTACCTGGGCCTGGTTTGCTTTACGCCACCCCTGCAGAGGAGGGTGTCTAGTGGGTCTTTTCTTTCAGCGTAATTACACCCCAGCCCACTCTCTAGCACTTACCTGAGCCCCTCCCCGTGCATACAATGGCTCAAATGCGACTGTGGGTCCCCGTGCTGGTATTTCTGCTGCCTTTGACCTTTGAAATGCCAATACCACTCACAGTGACCAGACAACTGCTGCAATCGTGGGGGGCCCACCACACATATAAGAAGTGGATTCAGGTTGCTGAGATGGTTGCGTTCTCTGCAAATCGGACCAATTGTGCCGTCTGCACTCTGGCCCCTGTAGATGCTCTGGGAGGAATGTCACTACTCCCTGTGCCTTGGAATGAATCCTTGGTTACAACTCCACTTGTTGTCTTCCAGCCTCTGGGCAACCATTATTCTTTATGGAATCATTCCGTCCCTTTCCAGGTTCACAGGATCACTGGCTACCTTTGTGTCAACAAATCAAATGACGCCAGTGACGCTCAGACCTATGTGGGCACTTCCCACTGTGATCGTACCTTCCCAGCCCCAACTAACATGCCTGAGTCCGAGACAGGAACTTTTTCTGGTTCCAGATTGACTGCATGCCTGGCCTGCTTGCTGACCATATCTGCCCATGGTCAGGACGTTTACTGGGTGTGTGGCAGGAAGGCCTATCATGCCCTCCCAAGAGGATGGTATGGGGTCTGTTTTCCAGCCTACTTAATACCCCCCATGTGGATTCCTGACCAGATACCCTCTGCACCCCTAGAAGGAGGCGTTCGGCTGACCTGGCAACACTTGCAGGTGGCAGCTCCCAGAATTGGGGCAAAATCAGTGGCCTCCGGAAAGGATCCTGGCCCATTATGCTCCAGCCTCCTGGAATCGGGAGAGAAAATCTCTGGGGCAAGGGGCCGATCTATAACTTGAACCGCATAATCAGACTCCAGGCAGTGGTAGAGATTGTTGCTAACACGACAGCCACAGCCCTTAGGCTAATTGCCACGCAATTGGATGAGACACGCAATGCGTTTCTCTCAGTCCGATTAGCGTTGGACTTTCTTCTGGCGCAACATGGCGGCTTTCGTGCAGCGTTAAATCTCACGGGTGGGGCCTGTTGCTTTAACATCTCTAATCATGGTGAGGCCATTCGCAATTTGGCAGCAGGACTTGAAACAGTGGCCCATATTCCTACCCAAGCCTGGGAGGTGTGGGACATGTCATGGCTTGACTGGTTGCCAAACCTAGGATGGGTAAAAGGCCTGTTTTTGCTGCTGCTTGGCCCACTTTTCATTTTGCTAATTTTTTTGCTTTTCTGTACCTTGCTTGCTGCAAAGGTTGCATACAATGACACGCAATATGATTTCTCGCATGCTTCGCCCCCAGATTATAGCTCTGACAGTCATCAAGTCCGTCTTCTCATGTAACTGTTCCAATAAGGCACTTGTTTTACAGAAAGCACGCACCAGAGCTTCTGAATACATTGTTATGCAAGGTCAGAAGTCTGTTCCCACGATCTTAATCTGTTGCAGCTGCAAAGCTCCCCGGTTCAAATTTAATAACAGTTTCACAAGCTCCCTCTAGGGGAAGAACTTCTATTTGTATCCATCTCTTTTCTTTCTTTTTTTTTTTAAAGCAGCTCTAACAACAAAGTTTCCTTTTTCCGATATTTTGTCAAGATTTGTTCCTTTAAAATGCGAAGGAGAACAATGGAATCACTATGTTTCTCTTCTTTTAACTGTCTGTCAAAGACGTTTGTCTATAGTCAATGAACTTCCCCAAAAACGTCAGTCCTGACACCCCGCTCCCAGGTTCAAGACGGTGGAAAATTACTTTTCTTTACACTCTCTTCTGCAGGTTTAAACAGTCCGGAAAAAATCCCCCCTCTTCTGCTTCCGAAGGGGGTTCAACAATTTTAGATGATGAAAGTTAATCCTTTACAAACGATTTTCT